ATTGGTAAGTTCCATACTTTTTAGTTTTTGTGGGTTTTGAAATGTGTGCATTGTGTTTCAGGCACCATGGTGGCTCCTAAAAGCATTGCTTGTAGAACCGGTTCATGTACTCGCGCTTCTGGTTTCTCCTTTTGCTATGGAGGGAGGGAAAGGGTTCGAGTTGTGAAGAAATGCCATGTAGCTAAAAGCGCCCAATCTCAATCGAAATCATAATTCATAGGATATGCAGCCGAGGTAGAGACTGGTTCTTCACAGTTTTGATTCACTTATGATGGTTGATGTGGACTTGTGGAGAGAGTGAGACAGTAATGATATGGATTATAAGATGTCAAATAATGATGCTGATGGTACGGTTAGTTGCCCAATCTGCATCAATGAGGAGGTGCTCATTTCTTCTTCTTGTTTTCCTCCTCTTATTCCTCATTCATCTTAAAGCCATCTTCATCATGATGATCATCATCAGAAAATTTTGGAACATCTTCGTTCCTCTCAAAAACCAACTCTGTTTCAGGATTCAAGCTTTCATTTATCGGTGACGCTTCCTCCACTTCTTTTCTCTAAGAAGTAGAATCGAACACCCTCCTAGAATTGTTTTCCTCCTTCCCCAATTTTTCTTTGAGTTCGAATGTGAGCCCTCTTCCATTTCTGGTTTTTCCACCATCACCTTTGCCTCAGCCATGGCATCATCGTTCTCATCATTCTGCTCATCGTCGTCGTTGTCGTTGTCGTCGTCATTGTCGTCGTCATTGTCGTCGTTGTCATCATCACCACCACGATCATCCTCATAATCATCATTTGACATCTTATAATCCATATCATCTATCATCGCCACAAGAAGAAGAGGAGGAAGACGAAATGGAGGAGGAGGAACGAGGCAAAGGTGGTCTTTGAAAGGAGGGAAGAAGATGTCCCCAATTGTCCTTGTAGTGATGACCACAATGAAGAAGGCTTGCATTCTAAAACAATGGAGGTTTCTGAAAGGAGGGGAGAAGATGTCCCAAATTGTTCTTAAAATGCAGACCACGATGTTGTGAATGATGAAAAGTTGGAGGTTGCACAGCCAAGGAAAGAGGGGCTGTTTTTTTAAACCAGTTGAATTGGTGGAAAAAAAAAGATATCACGAGAGGATGGTACTAATGATGGTACAAAGAGTTAAAAATGCTGATGCATTATTAAATGTTATATTGAATACCATTTGTCAAAAGCAAGAAAATTTACCTCCAAAAAGGACCCCCAAAGAAGATGTGAAGAAAATTCCTCAATTTTCCTTGATGCAAGACAATACAAACTTTCCCTTGAATTGTGCAATCTTTATCAAAAAGATCATTTTGAGACACTTTGTTCTTAAGGATTGTGTCGTGAATGGGAAATAGAAGCAAAACAACCTTATACTCCCTAAGCCTAGGAATCTTATCACGGATTGAGCCATCATGCAAATGTATAAAAGGCTCCACCATTTTCCGCAGAATACTCAAGCAAGCATCAGAATCCTCTTTCCTGCCCTCAATTATATTCCCAATCTTGGTCGTAAAAGCGTATTCTATTCAGGTTGCCCTCTTTTCTTCTGACAAATTATGCAAGCCAAAATGGATGATTTAGGGAACTAGTTTCAAATATGGCATCAGTAAAAAATGGTCGTACCAAGTGCAATGTATTGCAGAGCTCTTCAAAATTATTATGAAATGGAGTTCCTGAGAGCATGATGCGCATTGAAGTTTACACCTATGTAAGAACCTTCTAGATATTGCTAGCCGGGTTTCTAGTTGCATGACCCTCATCTAGGAATAATAATCCTGATTCTTTAAATATGAGCTTTGTACCTCCTTGTATCTTCTTTCATCTTTTGCTTTATGCTCCTCCATTGTCAACTTTGAAAACAATTCATAGCTTATTTCAAGAGTGCTTCTTCATTTGTTCCAATAATTTATCTTCATCAAACACAACAAAGTCTTGTCAGGCGTATACTACCACTATGTCGTGCATTGCAACATCTTCCTCGCCAAAAAAGGCATCTATTTTGAGGATATATAAAGAAAGGTCAACCTTCCATTTTTTCAACTCTTCTCTCCATCAGCACCTCATTCTAAGAGGTACAACTAGCATTGGCTTGCAATCTGAATACAATTGCATAAATGATTAGAGAAATGCAATGGTTAAAAGGGTCTTTCCAGTGCCTGGAGCATATGAAATTACATAACCACCAATACCTTCAGAGCCTTCTGGTTTCAGTTTATCAAGAGTGACCCCTCTTGCTAAATTATACCAAAGAAATTCAAAACCTTCAATTTGATAGTTGTGCATCTCGTTCTTTACACCAGGGATCATGTCCCAGACAGTTCCCTTTGACGGTCTTGAATAATTGCATGGAAACACATTTACTTCTTGAGAAAATGCTGCACCCAACAGTGAGGCATTACCCTCTTCATCTGAATTTGTCTTTTTGGATTTACGGGCAACATTTGTCATCTGCAAAGACCAAACGCATGATGGGTAACACAAAATATCATTTTGAGAAATGTGTAATTGAGCTCAATAGATAGTTGGAAGATTACTTCATTCCCTACACAAATGCTTCATCACTGACTCAAAGTTGCATGTACTTACAAGTGGAGGTAAAATACATCTAATCTCCAATTGAACATGATGACAAAATTTGCATATAATACCAATTTGATCATCAATTATATATTGGTGACCTCCTTCACTGCACGAATTGAAAGACTTGTTCTCAGCTTCTGGCAGATTATTGGCAATATTTGAGTTCATCAGCGGATTCACAAAGAATTGTCAAGTAATTTTAGATTGAAAAAAAAAAAACACATTCTCATGTTTCCTTGACTTCCCGATATCTAATCTCCAATACAAACTTTCCCTTGAAGTTCTACTTTGGAGAGGATAATGAGAGCAATAAAGAGAAGGAGAAAACAGTCGAGGAACACGAGTTGGATAAGCTATGGTGGGAGTTTGATTTTGTGTTGGAATGCTAATCCCCTGGAAATATCAATCCTTCCACTGTAAGTGGTGTATAATTTTCGATCAAAGTTTGAAGCTGATCTATTTTTCTGTTTTGAAACTTTTGTTTTCTTAATCTTCATACTGTTTGTTGTAGAGTTTTTACTTGGTTTTCTGATTTTACATTTTATAGAAGTTACATCTCTTTCTATGTGCAAACACACATAAGAGTAGATAAACTATCTTGCAGCTACTGTTAATTTAATTTGGTGGCCCCTTTGACTGGATTTTTCTTTATACTTATGCTATCAGCTCTAGGGTTTTCAGTTACTTGGATAATGATTTCAATTTTCAGATACATTATCCTATATTGCCATGTTAGTTGGGTTAAACTTAAGTACTTGTGTAGTATCATCAATGTTGTGGTGTTGGTAGTGTAAATTAATGATATCCAAGTTACATTTTTGTGAAGCTAAACCGTTTTACTAATACAAAAGAAAACATTGAATTGAACCCATAATGACTAAATTTGTAGCATTAGTTCACATCATATTTTGGCATTAGTTGTTTTTGTTATTTCTAGTAAGGCATGAAAGATACTCCTAAAGGTGATTCATGACAGAAGAAATGAGCTACATGCAGACGAACAGAGATGGTGTTCCTTCTGAACTAACTTACAAAATATGTTGGGTCCCACAAAATTCTTAGTTTGTAGTTACATTTAAACGGTTAATAGGGTGGTGTTTGGTCTTAGTTAGTATTTTCATTCATTGTTAGCTAGTAAAGAGGGAACTCCCTAGTTCTATGGGGCCTAAGAGATTATATATCAGGAAGTGTTTAGGAAACATGAGAATGCATTTTCTTTTTTTTACAATGTAAAGTTACTTCACATTTCTTTGTTAATCTGCAGATGAACTCAAATATTGCCAGTAATCTATCAAAGGTTGAGAGCATGTCCTCCAGTTCATGTAGTGCAGGGGGTCACCAATATGTAACTGATGATCAAATTAGCATTATATGCAGATTTTGTCATCATGTTCAATTAGAGATTAGATGTGATTTACGTCCAGTTATAAGTAAAGGCATATTTGAATCAGTGATGTAGTCTTGTGTAAGGAATGAAGTAACTTTTCAACGATCTAAAGAGCTCAATTACACTTTTCTCACTATGATATTATGTGTTGCTCATCATGGATTTGTTCTTTGCATATGACAAATGTAGCCCGTAAATCCAAAAAGAAAAATTTATATGAAGAGGGTGATGCCTCAGTGTTGGTTGCAACATTTTTTCAATTTGACAAGAGACATCAATCTTGAGAAACTGAAACCATAAGGCTTTGAAGGGATTGGTGTCATTTCACATGCTCTACTGGAATGACCTTTCTAACCATTGCATTTCTCCAATCATTTATGCAAATGTATTTGGATTGCAAGCCAATGCTAGTTGTACATCTTAGCATGACGTGCTCATGAAGAGAAGAGTTGAAAAAATAGAAGGTTGACCTTTCTTTACATATCCTCAATATAGGTGCATTGTTTGGGGAGAATGATGCTGCAATGCACAAGATAATGGCTTATTATACGTCTACCAAAGCTTTGATGTGCTTGATGAAGATATATTCTTGAAACAAAAGAAAAAGCATTCTTGAAATAAATTATGAACTCTTTTCAACGTTGACAATGGATGAGCAAAAAACAAAAGATAAAAAAAGATACAAGGAGATACAAGAGATCCTATTTAAAGAATCATGATTATTAGTCCTGGATGTGGGCCATACAGCTAGAAACCAGACCAGCAAGATCTGGACGGTTCTTACACGTGTAAACTTCAAGGCGCATCATGCTCTCAGGAACTCCATTTTAGAATAATTTTGAACAGCTCTGAAATACAGTGTACTTGGTAAGACCCTTTTTTGCTGATGCCATATTTTCTACAAGTTCCCAATATCATCCATTTTGGCTGCGTAATTTGTCAGAAGAAAAGAGGACGGCTAGAATATAAAATGCCTTTATGGCCAAGATTGGGAATAAAATTGAGGACAGGAAAGATGATTGTTGATGCTTGCTTGAGTGTTCCGAGGAAAATTGTGGGGCCCTTCATACATTTGCATGATGGCTCAGTCCTTGATAAGCTTTCTGGGCTTAGGGACTATAAGGTTGTTATGATTTTGTTTCCCATGCACGACACATTCTACAAGAACAAAGTATCTCAAACTGATCTTTTTGATAAAAAGTGCACAATTTCATCCGTGGCCATTCTTCCTTCCCTACTAAAATCCCGCTCTGAAGATGATATGCTCAAATTCAAGTTGGATGACATACGACTCAAGTGGGAAGAGGGTGTGAAGATAGGATTCGTGGTCGATCTAATTCGACTAAGCAATGTAGCCAATGAGAGGGTTTTGATATTCTGCCAATATATCCCTCCATTGCGGCTTCTCATGCATCACCTTGTGTCTTATTTTGGCTGGATGGAGGGGTGTGAAATTCTGCAGCTAGACGGAGATGCTAGGGATGTGGAACTCTGTTAATACATGATCCATAAGTTCAATGACCCCAATAGCGAAGCCAGAGTTGTTCTTGTATCGATCAGAGCCTGTTCAGATCGGTTAAATTTGTTTTGAGGCATTGAGAGTGGTCTTACTTGATCATGTTTGGGACCTTTCTGCTTTAAAGCAAGCCATCTGTCGGGTATTTAGGCCTGGATAGAAGAAGATTGTCAACATTTACCATATAATAGGCCTGCATGGATGAGCTGCTTATCAAAATCAGTTTTTCGGTCTGCGGAAGAGCACAAACAAGAGCAGAGTATTAATGGGATAGATATCGACGATGAGATACTGAGGCAGTTATTCGAGAACAAGAGATGTATGTTTAAGGGAATCTACTAGATGCACCTTGTAAGTTTTGAGGACTTATTTTTCTTGATGCACCTTGAAAATTTTGAGGACTTCTTATTTTTTCATCTTGTTTTCCCTTGGGGGGGTTTGGAGCGCAATGTCATGGCCTAAGTTTGTGTCATGCTCTCGGGTAAACACTTATCTGTTCGATCGTTTTTTATTTACTATTAATGATCGTTGTCGGACATTGGTATTTGGAATAGAAGTTCTCTAGATTGGTGTCCTCTTCTGTGTGACTTTAAATTGTCACATGAATGTAGAAAGGAATTTCTCATGAATGTAGGAAGGAATTTCTCAGGTGCATTTGTTCTCGACTCTCTAGGCATGGACTAGAAGTAATTCTTCATTTATCACTAAATATTGTAGCATGCAGTTATAGAGATTATTCATAGAGATTATTCATGTGGATTATAAAGAGATTTTTTATCAGCCGTACTTTAAAATTGTTGATTTGTCAATTGCGAAATTGACATAAAATCCTGCCTCTTAATAGTTACTACAGCCACACCAGTAACCAATAACAAAATGTTGTATTTTTTTGTCAAATTGGAAAAATGGCTAATCTTTGAAGCTTGTCATTGGCAATGTTTCTCCAAGTGAATTCTAAAATAGATATTCTTATATTCTTGAAATTTATGCAGTTTAAAGATATATTGGACTGACATACAATTCGAATAAATAAATAATGTTTTGCATTTTTCATATGCTAGTTACTTTGTAACTTTAGAAGTGTTTTTGCATAATCGTTGAACTCTCATATAACCAGGACACTATTGGATCGTAAGGTGGGTTTTCTGTGTTGAGATACGTTTGACTGTTTTCAATTGATTACTTACATTTCAAAAACAGATATTTAGGTCAAGGATCGTGCTCTATGCCTTGGCAGCATGATTGAAAGTTGGGAAAATTATCTGTTATATTTATCGTTATTATAATATCTATGTTATTAATATGATACCTATTTTTTATCTGTTATTTCAACAATTTTCAGTAGTTTTTTTAAATGACTGAATTACCTTTTTTTTATTGGAATTTCAAGATCCGAAATAATTTTTAGCTGGGGCGCCTTAGATACAAAAATTTCAGATTTTCAATAGCCTAAAGTCCTAAAGTTTTTGGACTTTTAGGATCCGAATTTATTTTCCGGATTTTCAATATCCTAAAAACCTAAATTTTTGGATTTTTAATATTCGAATTTATTTCCTGGCTGAGTTTTTGGTTTTTATCGGATTTTAAAGGCTACTGGAAACACAATAAATTTCAGTAGCCTCTCAATATTTTCGGACTTCAAAAATACATTTTTATAAAAAATTAGGACATTCAAAATCCGAGAAAAATAGTTATTTCAATGTTTGAAAGACTGAGAAAGCTATTGGAGACGCAACAAATTTCAGTAGCCTTTGAACATTTTAGGACTTTCAAAATAAGGAATTTTTGATTTTAGGATATTCAAAATCTGATAATATAGTTATTCTGGTGTTTGAAAGATCGAGAAGACTACTGAAAACGCAACAAGTTTCTGTTCTATTTGTCTCTTCGGCAATTTTGAAAAAGAGTTTTGGCCAACTTGAAAATGGATTTGTATGTAATACACACAAATATGATTGTAATTAACCGTGGTTTTTGGTAGATTTGTAATAACGGTAAATATAATGGATTATGCGTAATTTTTTCTTTTAGAAAAGAGAGAGATTGAGTTTTTAGAGAGAGAGAATTGAATTTTTAAAAAGAGTGATTGGTTTTTATAGAGAGAATGAGTTTCTAGAGAGAAAAAATGAGTTTTTTTTTAAAAAAAGAGAAATTAGGTTTTTAGAGACGGAGAGCATGGGACATAAACTTGTTTATTTTTTGCTTACTACAAACAAGTTTGAAAACTGAATATTTTTTTTAAAAAAAGCTTCTAAATGGGCTGGACCGGGCTTTTCTTTAGACAAAATTTTATCGGCTGGGTCAAAAAGTCGTGGCTTACCGGGCCAGCGGGCTAGTTTCCGGGCTTTCTCAGGCAATAAATGGGATACTTACCTTGTGAAACGACAAAAACCAAGAGCTTATTATGATCTACAACGATGCCTCATCACCCACGATCCTATGTGAGTTACCATACGCAGTAGATACACCGTTAAAACATATGGAAAAATAACCTCTGCTCCCTCTCCGAAATTTTTATGGTTCACAAAAACCCTTTTGTTCAAGTTTTTTTTAATTCTTCTTACAAATTTGATTTTTTTATTTTACAAAATGCCAAACCCATACGTTAGTCATTTATATATTTTGTATGGCTTGATATACAAATTTTATTGATGATGATGATAACAATATATTAATTATTCATCTTTTATAAGTATTTTGATCAATTTTTTAAATAAATAAATAAAAAATAATAGTAAAGTTTAAAAGATTTTGATGCAATTGTAAAATGGGTCATAATATTTTAAAAAATTTATTTTCTTTCTCAAGTCTAAATTTGTAGAGTGGGGTCCATGGAGGTACAATTAGTTTTGGACAACATAAGAGAAAGGGAAAGGTGTTGACTATTAGATGGGTTTGGCAATTTTGTAAAACAAAAAGATGAAATTTGTAAACAGAACAAAGAAAACGTATTTTGGGGGTTAATGGTCCCAAATTTTTATATTTGAGAGAGTATAAGGGATTTTGTTGAGCCCAATAAGCTAATGGGGATGGAAATTTAGGGGGTAAATGTCATTTTCCCTAAACCTATTTACACATGCATTCAACCCCTAAGCTGTGTGAATGTAAAATAGAACCTCACTTTGAATCCTGATCGGGAGAGCATTTTGGGTATCAGAAATCTCCATGATGGCTCTAAAATGAATTCCCAATACGACTTAAGAAATTTGGTGCTAAAAAATGATGCAGATCTTGTCGATCCTTAAGACTTAGTTTTAGAGTGAAATGGATGGTCTTGATAACGAGTTACAATATACACTAAAATTAAAGTGTGAAATCCTTTTTTTTTTTTATAATGATCGAGTCCGATATAATTGATTTCAAAGGTTTTCGATGCCAAAGCTACAATTTTGGATGAGTTTTGAGGTAATGCTTTACTTATTTTGATAGCGCTACTGCCCTATCAAAACATTTTATAATAACTAAACAGTAGAAAATGCTATGCTGTTTTTTTAAGGCGATTGATAGTCATCCGACTCTCTCTATCTTATTCATCCATCCTGACTCTCTCTCTCTCTCTCTCTCTCTCTCTCTCTTGAAAGTTGAAACCCTGCTTGTCATTTCTCTCTGTTGAAACAATGATATTCGTCCATTTCACGTACTCTTTCTCCAGCAAGGGTTGAGGTTAGTCTTAAGGTCTCAAAATTATTAGGGATTTAGGACAATCGCTCTCTTTCTCTCTCTAAACGATGCTTGAAGGGGAATTAAGGGTCTCAAAATTATTAGAATAATGAATTTGGATGGGGTGTTTTTTCACCATTTGTCAGGGGCCAAGACGATAATAAGTTATCAAGTAAGGCATATTCGAATATGCAAACACGCATAAAATGTCATGCAACCCCTTTTGATGCTTATTGTCAAACCTTTTAAAGTGTATTTCAATCTTTTGTCTCATGTGATGACAAAAATATATAATAAAAATAAAAGTAGTGGCTATGGGGATCATCAAGCATAGGTTATATTTAAATTTGTTTGAAAAATGTTGAAAATGATCAGTTGTAAAAGTTGGCATAAACTTGTATTGCTCCTTTCATAGTCTTCAATCACTAAAAAGACAATCTAAATTTATTTCAAGAAATAAGGAGTTAGGTGAGTTAGCTTTTAAATAAAATTTAATAATGTCTTTTGTTTTTTTTTTTTGGGTTATTTAGTGGAGAAGACAGGCTCCTACCTATTTTTTAAAGTAGATTAAGAGTTAGAGTTTTTGGAAAAAGGCTATGATGATAATGATGTGGAGGAAGAGTAAGATTTTTTTATGGTGTTAGTGGGGTAGTGTTAGTGGTAGGATGGAAACCACAATACGGTGAATAGATATGGAAATCTCATGTCCGGTTGGCTATAGAGGTAGACACATCATCAAAGGAATAAATTATAAACAAGAGAGAGATAGAGAGATGTATGTGTCGTTAAAAACTTCGTCATGTAATTTGGCATGGGAGTATTTTGACACCGACTGCTTGCCATTTGGTACGCAAAATGCACTGGGACCAATTAGCATTAAATAACCCTCCCACCTAATCACATAAGGGAGTTTTTTAGCGTACCAAATACGTCTTAAAAGAATATAAGAATACAGTAAAATCATTTACCTTTTTATATGGCCAATGAATATCAACTTAAGTGGCTATTGGTATCTCATTAAGAAATTTCAAAGATTAAAAAGGAGTTTTCAAACTATGTGATATATCAAAAGCTGTCAACAAAATTTAGAGTAAGATGGTTATAGGTGATTGTGACAGCATTCCACTAAAAATATACCCTTATAATGACTGTATAGATCAACGAGATTATACTACAGAAATAAGCTATCCTTTAGGCCAAATTTTTTGTAGATACGTAGATCTCACGAGGTTATTGAAAAAAAAAAAAAAAAAGTATTGAATTGATATAA